TTTTGTTCATTTTTTAGCCATTTCACATTCATATATCCCTTTCACTTCTTGCTTTCAGTCATTCACTTTTTTCTATCAAAGATTACTTTCTTTTGTCAACTGCAGTGAAAAAAATCCGTTTATACAGAGATATCGATCTTCTGCTTCGGTAGCGCAATGGCGTTGGGCTTTGCTTACATCTATACAGTAATCATCTTCTGCCCGATTCTCTATTACTGTTCACTTGAAGAGACTAAGGAAGTTCCAGAAGGCTGTTTTAGGCGAAAGGTATAGTTTTAATCACGTTAATGATGTCCCTCATAATCGTAAATTCAGGGCAAGCGCTTCTTTCGAGCTGTTCTCCATGGTTACAGTCGAATACTGTCTGACCGTCGTGTGGCTATAGTGCTATTCGTCGGCACCTTAGTTTACTGGTATTTTGGCATCATGGGTACAATTAGTATCACTGCCAAACTGGATACTGAGAAGATTCTTCCAAAAGACACGCCAATCCATCGACCAAACCGATTGGTGGAGAACATAGGTGATTTGATGACTCAGTCCTAAGCATCATTGACAACACCTTGGCTCTGATCGTCAAAGAGCTGAACTTCTGTTGACAATTTCTTGCGTTCCACAGAGTTTACTCCAAACTTTTATTTCAAAAGTTTTTTCATCTTGCACTACACTTTTGTCCTGTCACTGCTCAAGTCATCGCTGAGCTGTACTTCCACATTCCAGTCTGGGCCGAGTACTATCCTGTCACAATCATCGTCAACAGTCCTGTTGACATTCGTGATGCTGACAAACTTAACGAAATCAACACATTTGTGGGAGAATTTGAATCGCTGCCAACTTGTCGAGGTAATAGATTTTGGTCGATTGGCTTTTTTTTAGCATGCGAAATACTTGTTCCAGGCTCAAATTTCACAATGTTCTGGCTTCGAGACTATATTGACTACTACTGGGGTGTTGGTGTGAACGATTTTGACTTTTACTTTGATGCTGACGAGTATCCGGACGAGAAGGAATTTGGATACAAGAAGTTGCCTGGCTTCTTGGGAAATCCGCTATATAAGCACCACAAGGCTTTCCTTAACCTCGATTACAACAAGACGTAAGTTACTAATTCTAAATTTGCATTTGCAGAAGTATCCAATTTTTCATTTCACTGATTTTCAGCGTCACCGTCCGGAAGTTCTCGTTAGTGGTTGTATATGAAAACAACACATCCTGGGACGATAGAATTGATTTAATGCTTAAGTGGAGAGCAATTGTTGATAAGTATGCTTTCCACAGACTTACTCAATCGCCTCTGCGCCAGGATGTGAAAGAGGTATTTTCAGGTATCCAAACCTCAACGCTAGTGTCTGGAACGTCAATGCAATGTTTGTAGACCAAATGCTCAGTTTGAAATCGCTAACGTGGCAGGTACCACTGAGAACTACTGTGTTGCAATGTGTTCTTCCATAAATATCCTTACTTTCTAGACATGTATGTGGACGTTGTTCTGTATGGCCATTGTATGCACAATCTTCATCCAAAATCCCGTTTCCGTTGTTATGGCCACACTAGCGATTGCGTCCATAAGTCTCGGAGTTATGGGGTGAGTTCTGCTTCGAAGTTTTCTCATTCATGATCGTCATCAATTCAATGCTATAGATACCTCTCATTCTGGCATCTTGACCTGGATCCAGTATCACTGTGCGCTATTTTGATTAGTATAGGTATGGCGGTAGACTTCGTGGCTCACACCACCTATCATTATCAGGTAAGTATTCACTTTTTGTGAAGGCTCTCCCAAAAACAGTGTTTCTGTTTCAGTTGTCCTACCGAGAAGCGATTCGAAATGGGCATGAGGTACGGGTCGAGTTGACCAAACCTTATGATCGTATGCGTAATACCATTAGCAATGTTGCTTGGCCCATGTCACAAGCTGGAATCTCTACAGTCATCTGTATACTGCCTATTGTAGTGCTTCAAGTAAGTTAAGCCAATTTAAGCTCTTTAATCTAAGCATCTTTGTTTTTTTT